CCTCCCGCCGCGGGCGGCTTGTGCCCGGAGGAGCCCGACCACATGTCCACACGGGCGACGGGCACCGTGCCACTCGCCGGTGTCACCCGTGGGGACGCTATGGGCTGGGCCAGCTGGGCTGGATGGGGAGGATGGGGATGGTCCCCCGTGGACCCCCGTGCTGGTCCCCTCCTCTAGCCCTGGGCTGGGTGAGCGTCCCAAGGACACGCGGTGGCAGAGCCGCCGACTTCCAACCCGCACATACGTGCCCACCCGGTGTCCCTGGGGTCCCGGGGGGACGAGGTGGGACATTAGGGACACTCGGCACCCCAGGCCGCTCCGCAGCCGGCGACCAGGAGGAGTGGGGACGGGCTGGCGGGGGGACGGTGGCATCTCCTGCCCACACGCCTGCATCCCTGCAGGTCAGTGCACGTACACCCCTAATCACCTGCAGAGACGCTCCCCGGCCCCATGTAATTAATTAACGAGGGCCGTCCCCTCATTAACAGAGCGCTTAATTCTTCCATCTCCTGGGCTCCTCTTCCATTTCCCTGGGCTCGGGGCCGCCAGCCGGAGCGTTCCCATCCCTCTCCGGGGGGAGTTTGGTTTCCCCCCACCTTCAAACACGCACTTTGCCCCCCGGGGCTGCGGGCAGATGTGGGCAGATGTGGGCAGGGACACCGCTGCCTGCCTCCACCTTGCCTTCATCACCTGCCTGCCTCCACCTTGCTTTCATCACCTGCCTGCCTCCACCTTGTCTTCATCACCGTCTCGAAAGCAGCTGCCCCAGCTCTGGGGAAACCCGCACCCAGCCCCAATGCCGGCCGAGGAACAGGGTGCCTCTTCTTGGGGGCTCCCCCAGTTTTGGGGAGGCAGCCCCGGTGCTGCTCCGGCGAGTTCAGGAAGGGAGTGACGTCACCCCATCGCCCCGGAGTGACGTCATGCCACAGAGGGTGACGCGATGCTGCCCACGGAGATGCCACCAGCTGCAGCGGGTTCCCTCCCACCACCCCCGGGTCACCCCAGTGCCCCCATCACCAGCTCAGCGTCCCCCAGCCGGTGCCGCTGTTAAAAACATAATGCTAACAAAAAGGCTTTTTTTAAAAAAATTAAACCCCTATTTATCAAAACGGCTTTAGAAACCAGAGCAGCGCGCGTTTTCATTTCTTCTTCTTCTGTGTTCCCCCATGAAAAACCCCATTTTCCCCGTTCTCTACCTGCTTCCCACCCCCTACCTGGCCCCTTTTTGGCCTTCGCTCCCCACCCCTTCTCCTCCTCTTCCTCGTGGCTTGGAGGAGGCAGCAGGATGAGTCCCGGCCGCCCGGGGCTGAGCTTCCCCCGCGGCCCTGAGCAAGCGGCCGTGTTGCCTAATACCGGGGAGGAATTTTAAGTCGCTCCAGCGGACTGTAAATATTTGGGCTACGGCTGACAAGGAAAATTTAAATGCTTCGAGAGGGAAAAAATTCATCCAGGCTCGGGCTCCTCTGTAGGGGAGACCTCTCAGCCCCTGCCATGGGGGTGTCCCGGCTCCCACCCATCCCCTGCCCGCAGCAGGGTCCTGCCTGCAGCCCTGGCTTGGCCGGAGAGGACCGGCCCCTGTGGGTCCCCACGGCTCCCCTGGGGATGCCCCCTTTTCCCAAAGCGGATGGTGGGGCTGGGGGACCCGCTGGAGCTGGCCGAGCCTTTTCTCCTGTGACTGGGCACCACTGGGAGAGCCTGGCTCCATCCTCTTCCCCCATCAGGTATTTGTAGGCATGGTGAGACCCTCCTCTGCTCCCCAGCTCGCTCAGCCTTTCCTCCTCGAAGAGATGCTCCAGTCCACCATCTTCATGGCCCTTCACTGGACTCTCTCCAGTATATCCACGTCTCTCGTGGACTGGGGAGCCCAGCACTTGGACCCCGGTGTGGCCTCCCGCTGTGGAGGATCCCCTCCCTCGACCTGCTGGCAATGCTTTGAAGCTCAGGATGCCCTCAGCCTCCTTCGCAGCAAGGACACGTTGCTGGCTCATGGTCAACCTGGCATCCACCAGCACCCCCAGGTCCTTGTCTGCGAAGGTGCTTTCCAGTTGGGTGGCCATCGCTCCATGGGGTTGTTCCTCCCCAGCAGCAGGACTTTGCACTTCTCCTTGAACGTCATGAGGTTCCCCTCTGATTGCTTCTCCATCCTCTCCGGGTCCCTCTGGATGGCAGCAGGACCCTCTGGCATTTCCCAGGCTTGTCACCAGCAGCCTCCCAGCAGGTCCACCCCAGCCCACCAGTGACTTTAGAAAATATAGAATCATGGAATCGTTTAGGTTGGAAAAGACCTTGAAGATCATCAAGCCCAACCGTTAACCCAGCACTGCCAAGCCCACAGCTAAACCATGTCCCCAAGCACCACATCTGCTTTGTCCCCGGCTGCCCCGGCGCCAGGGGGTTGTGCACACCCCGGGCAGGTCGGCGGCTGGGTGCCGAAGGCTGTGAGCCTGGAGGACCAGTTCCACCCTGGGAATGGTCATACTGGATCAGACCAAAGCTCCAGCTAAGCCCAGCATGGTGACTTCCCCATGGGAAGCACTGGAGGCAGAGGAGGATGGAGGGATGCCTCCACCCCCTCCAGCCGCATCCCAGGGGCGGGAGGGAAGGGATCGCAGCGGGACGCAGCGCCGGGGAAGCACCCAGTCCCCCGACGCTCCCGCGTCCCCACGGGTGCCCCCTCGGGCAGGGCAAAAGCTGCTGCTGGGAAGAGCCGCTCTCTCCATCGGCTGCTGCCAAGCCAGATCTGCTCTTCGCAGGCTTAGCGTTGTTAGATCAGCTCTCGCCTGGGTTTGGAGGGAGCGGGTTTTATGCCCTTAAAGGCAGGAGAGCAGCCCAGAGCTCTGCTGGGGGCCGCAACCACGGAGATGGCATGTCCCCATCCCTCCTGGTGCCATCAGCCAGGCCCAAATCCCCTTGGAGGTTCGGAGCCAGATGCCTGACACCATCTGAGGTACCCCCGGCTCTCCTCTTTGTGCGCCTCCTGTCCGTGCCTCAGTTTCCCCACGCAGCCCAAGAGAGGGGGGGGCTCAGCCTTGTCCCCCCTGGGTCACGCAGCAGAACGCAACTGCTCGCAATCGTTGGAGGCTTCTTGGCCGTCGTATGGAGCAGAGGGAGGTCTCCAGCTTGCGCCGGGGAGCAAAGGCTGCAGAGATGCTGCTACGGGCAAGAGCAGGAGGGATACAGCTCTGCTGGGTCTGGGGGGGCTCCCATGGGAGAAGCCGCTGCGGGGTCCCCTCCCGCCTTGCGTCAGTGGGTGACGGTGGGATGGAGGAGATCGGGAGCCCCAAGGGGCTCTGCCCTCCCCAGCACCCCCAGACCCTTCTCCCACCGAGCCCACCCAAGGGTGCCGTGGCCCCGGCAGAGCTCAAAGCTGAGCCTCTCCTTTCCTCCTCTCCTCTCCCTCATCCGTGGGAAAAGTCAGGAGAGAGGCAACCAGAGGCTTATCCCAAGGAAATTCTCACAATTCCTGATCCTCGCAGAGCAAAGGCGACGGGGCACGGAGCCGCGACGCGGGGAGGTCCCAGGGGACCGGGACCCTCTGCTCCCAGCCCCTCATCCTCACCCAGCGCCGGAGGGAAGGAGCCGAAGCTGTGCTGAGCTTTGAACCAGCTTTTATTTCTCTCTCTCTAAGGAAAGTAACTCAGCGGTACAAATATACTTTGGCATGAGAACCAGAGAAACCTTGCCGGGGGGAGCATGGTTCCCCGCGGGTGCCCTAGGATGAGAAAGATGCAGAGAGCAAAAAGAAATTCCCCGGAGTCATCAACAACTTCCCCCCCCCTCAAGACTCCTTTCCGATAGATATTTATAGATTTCTATAGATATGATGATAGCGTCATTTATAATAAATATCCTCTCTGGTATCTAACAGTATGTACAGGTCGTCAAGTATTAGAAATACATTGGGTTTTTTTTTTTTCGGTTAAAAGGTGAGAAAAGAAACAGGCGGGCTGGGTGCCTCGGCTGTCCCCAAAGCCCCCCGGCACCCCCGGGCTCAAAGAGGGGCCAGCGCATGTCACGGTGTCCCCCAGTGTCCCCGCCGGTGGGGGGACAGCCCGTGCTTTGGGTGCTGGCAGGGGGGAGCGCGGTCCTGGGGGCGATGGGGGTGCTCGGCTGGGGGCTGCCCCATGGATGGAAGGGGCCAAGGAAAGAAGTTTTTGTCCCCCTCTTGCTGTGCCGGGGTGGCCGTGCCGGAGGTGACCCCCGGGATGTCCCGGCTCTCAGGCGGGGGAAGCCCTGGGAGCATCCCCTGCTCTGGGCTCAAGGTGTTGGGGTGAGACGGGGTGCGGGTCGAAAGGGGACTGGTACAACCCGGGGATGTGAAGGAGAAGGGTGAAAAAGTCTTATGATGCCCCGGGTTGCCCCCCAGAAAAGCTCCCCGAGGGCAATGGCTCCGGCCCCAGAGCTGCTGCAGGGGAGGATGGAGACGGGGGTCCCAGGGGCCTGTCCTGCCTCCCGGGGATGGCTTCAGGCTTCCCGCTGCCTCGCCACCGGGAAAATCCTGGGGACGCCCAGGCTTGCCCATCTAAAACAGGTTAAAATAAACCCATAAAGCTCTGGGAGGGCTGCCCACCCGGTCGCAGGCTGCCCACCCGGTTGCGGCAGGCGTTTTCGGCAGCCTACGTGACTGACGGCTTGTTTTCTCGGCCGCAGGGGGAGGGCGGTGTGGGCAGGCACCGCCAAAAGTTCGCCCAAGCGAGGATGGAGGGGACGGGACCCCGCTGCTGCCTGCGGTCGGTGCCGGGAGCCCCATGTCCTCCACGACGCCTCCGGTGCATGCGCGGTCACGCGTCCGGCTCACGGCCGTGCTGTGGCACGCGGCCTCGCACGCTCGGGTTGCCATGGGGCTGCTATGGGGCCGCCATGGGGTTGCCACGGAGGTCCCCAGCCGCTTGCCCAGAGGTATCACAGCGGGAGGTGCAGGTGTACCCCCCCATTAGGTTAAAACACTCTCCAGCTCTTCAAGTTTCACATTTTTGAGGAGTGGTTTTGCAAAATAAAATAAAATAAAATTAATTTAAATTAAAATAAAATAAAACCAGCAGCTCCTTTCTTCCCGCTTTGGAGAGGACGGGGGCAGCCTCGCCGCTGCTCCCGCATCCCTCCCGAGTCCCGGCAGAAGAGCACGGCCCCCGCGGGGGTCCCAGCCCGCTGCCTCCCCCTCCGCAGCCAGTCCCTGGACCACGAAAGGTCCCCGGCTGCGGGGCCGAGGGGGGTCCGGGGGGCTCAGGTGGGGATGGAGAGGGGCTACACAGAGCTGCGGCGTTTCATGAGCCCCTGGAAAGCCGCCAGGCTGTGGAGACCGGTGGAGACGGAGCTGATGGCCGACCGGCGGGTGTTGCAGAAGCATCTGTTGGAGGGGGTCTCCGGACAGCGGCCGGGCGAGGAGTGGCTCTGCTCCACGCAGGTGTCCGAGGTGGAGAGGTCCCTGGGGATGATCATAGGGATGGAGTACTGCAGCTTCTCCCGGCTCTTGTACCACAGGCACGAGCACATGGATTGGAAGTGGAGAACCTCGGCGTAGACGTTCCGAAAGCCGCCACCGCCGCTGCCCGCCGCCACCGGCACAGCCGAGGCAGTGTCTGTGGTGTGGATGCTGCTGGCTTGGCCGTTGCGGGTGAGCAGCGCCCGATGTTCGGCATCCCGCTTCTCGTCCTCGGCGTTCATGGTCATGAAACGTAGCACCACCAGGTTGAGGAAAGCCCCGATGACCGTCAGCCCCGTCAGGATGTAGACGAAGCTGAAGGCCACATACTGCGGCTTGTTCTGGAGGGCTTCGTCCTTCTGCAGGGCCACGTAGTCCCCAAAGCCGATGGTAGTGAGGGTGATGAAGCAGTAGTAGTAGGCGTGGAAGAAGCTCCAGTGCTCGTAGTAGGAGAAGGCGGCTGCCCCGATGCAGAGGGTGCTGATGCAGGAGAAGAACCCAATGGTGACCATGTTGGCCATGGAGACCTCCGCCCGCCTCATGCCAAGGCACTTCTTGATGCGGTGGAGGAGGTACCTGACGAAGGTGTTGATCCTCTCGCCCAAGCTCTGGAACATGACGAGGGTGAGGGGGATCCCCAGCAGGGCATAGACCATGCAGAAGACCTTCCCCCCGTCCGTGCTGGGGGCCGCATGGCCGTAACCTGGGGAGCGAAGCCACAGAGCGGGATCAGCTTGGTGGTCCGAGGCGGGTGCAGGGTGTGCAGAGCCTCAAACCCCTTCCCAGTTGCTGGTGGTGGCCCCCAGGCACAAGGAGTGACCACGGATGGTTGGGTGGGCTGGGGGGATAACGGGGGTCTCCAAATGAAAATGAAGGGGAGGGGGCTGGAGAAGGGGGAAAGCCCTAGGTTTGTGGGGAAAGGAGCTGGGGGGCTGGCAGGGGGTGACGGACTCGGTGTTGCACCCCCGGGCTGGGGGGGGGGC